CCGCGGCTTAGACGCTGATGCTGCAACCCGCGATCCTAGGGTTCTTCCCGAACATACGACTCCAAGCTCGTCTCTCGTGAAATGCACCGGCTGGGCAATCTCGCACATCTCCCTGTCGCACTCGCACCGTCCATATCGGCGGGCGCATCGTCCACGACGCTAGCCCTTCCGACGAGCGCTATCCCCCCACCGAATCTCGCGTCCGCGGACAATCCATGGGGCACCCTCCACGTCCTCGTTCTCCCTCTGTTCAATGGCGAGCCCCTTCGAATACCCATGTGAGTGACCGTCCGACCGATGGCGTCCACATTTATCTCAAACATTGCCTCCGAAACAGCGAAGACCTCAACACTCTGGTCAAGAGGCACATCCAGAGCGTCGTGTCCAATTCGCCACCCAAAGCCGTCGCAACGCTCGAGGCTGCAGCATCAGAGCTGATCGGATCGGGCATGGACACGCTGAACGGCAAATTGGCAGGCATAGAGGAGGACAAGCTCGTGGGCAGGGTTGTTGAACTGTGGGGATTCTTTTGGGATCAAGTGTTGCCGTATGTGGAAGGGGTGAGTGTCATTCCATCCGCACCGTGCCTTGGCTTGACGCCTGGCATGTAGGTCCTCCTACCCCTCCAAACGGACCCTATCCTGCTGTCACTCTACCGCACCCCCAAGACCCACCGCACGTCGTCTCCATCCAGACACAATGGGAAAGGATCAATATCCCTGCCATCCACGTCCCACATCGATGTTCGGACGGTCGCTCTTCGATCGTTCAGAGACAAGATCATCCTCCCCATCTTCTCTGCACTCAACACCCGGCTCAGCTTGCAAAAGCAGGACACACTCTCAGACAGTCATATCTACCCACGACTCCAACAGATGTAGGCCTGCGCCCTTCCATTACTGTTCATACCACTAATTTCATAGCTGACAGGCTTCTAGTCCTTGTTTCACAAGGGCGCAGTCATCACGCCTCGGTCTCCCTTACCACACCGTCTCCATTGCCCACTCCAGGTGAGGCTGCCGTAAGCCACCTCCTCCGGGTTGTGCGCGCCTCCACCTCGGGGGCGCGCCTCTCCGGGGGGCGTGCCCCGCACCGCCAAGCACGCACGCTGTCCTTCCTGTCCGGCAACATCCCGCGCGACCGGCGCGGGCGCATCGCGCAGCGCCCGGGCCCGCTGCGCATGGACCTCGTTGTGTCGGACGACGAGCAGGACGGCGGCGAGACGCCCCGCATCGGGTTCGCGCCGGAGCGGGAGCGGGAACGGGAGTTTCTCGAGTCGCTGCGGAGCCCAGACCCGCCGCTGGACCAGCGCGCGAGTGTCGGTGGGTGGGGGCTTGGAGCGTGGAACGAGGAGGGGAAGGACAAGGGCGAGGAGGACGAGGAGGAGGATCCGATGGACTGGGACCAGGCTCAGGTGCGTGTTTGTCGTGCGAGCGTTTCTGATTCCGTAACTGATCGACGGCGTGGATGGTCTGTAGGCCGTCGTTGAGCGTATGGTGGGCATGAAGCCGAATGATTCGCCACATGCGCCGGAGCCACGGCGGAGAGCGACGTAACGGAGGTGTACACTATTGTTCGTTTTCGAGGATGTATACTCTTTGGTTTTCTCTTCTGGCATATATGTAGCAACTGACAATTGTATCAATCGCTGAGCAAATTCAGCTTCTCCAGGGATCAATCCTCTACGTGATTGCGACGCGTCTTGGTCTTACCAAGGTCGCACAGTTTAAGTTGCCCGCCTCAGAAACGGAGTTTAGCGTCACTCTATGGGGCTCTCATCTGCGCATCGTCGGCACTTCCGTCCCCGTGTCTCCTGCCGAGCTTGCCTCTGTGTGGCGCTGGATAGCGCCCCTCCATTCCAACCAATTTCAACGAAAAAATCGAGCTCGTCAAGTCCCCGTTCAGGCCAGTCGTCATAGCGTCAACAAGTTTCCAAGAGCTAACTAAAAGAGGTACCGGAATGGACGAGGACAAGGGTGAAAGCGTTCATGCCCCACTCCGCGATTCGTGATGCTGATCCCTTTCGTGATATCTAGTCTCCCAGATGCCACACCACAAACCGAAGATCGTGCCTTACTCTATCGCGCCTCGACAACTCCAGTCTCCAAGGACTTGCGCTTCCGTCGACGTAAAGGTGCCGTATACCAGGGTTGACTCGTCTTGTTTGTTAGAACCCAAATGGCTTCTGTCTTGCCTGTCGTTTTTCAGAAGCGGGACCCAACAAAGCATAGTTTGCATCGACGTCTACATCAGTGTCGGACATCTTCTTACAGGAATGAAAGCGCCATCGTCGCCTTCACTGGAGCAGCTCACCATGGCCGCGAATTTTACGTTTGGACTGTGGGACTGGGGTATACACGTGACCGCGTCGCTTCGCGTCTCGGCGAACGCGACGTCAGGGTGGAGGGTGGAGTGACCGTCATGGCCCAGAACTTCCAGTCACATTCGAAAGGGGTGGATTAAAGCTTATGTCCAGGTGGTGCCCCGTCTTTGTTCGGTGGGGTCTGTCCAGAATATATAAAGGCCCTCGTCTCTAACCCGGGTAGCCTCATCATCCGACTTTCCTCTCACTCACCACACTACAACAGCAAATTTCTCTATAAATCGTCTTGCGAACCGTCCTACATGTCAGGTGCGTTTTTTAGAGTGCATAATGCGTATGCTGTTTCTGAAGTGTCCATCAGAATCCAAGAATGCCACCCGCGTCGCAGCTGGGCTGAAGGCGACTCTCCACAATCCGAACGTTTCTGAAGGGGCGAAGAAGAGCGCGCAGGATCGGCTTGAGCAGATGGGCGCCATCGAGCCGCAGTCTGGTACCGCGAAGGCTGCAGCGGAACCGGGAGAGTCCCACGACACGCGCGTCCTCGGTTTGTGCCTCCCGCCTAGTCTTGATTTCGCGACAATATTGACGCCAGTCTTGCTTCCCAGGAGGATACAAGGCGACTCTGAGCAGTGCGTCCCTCCTTATCCGACACGCTCTGTGTCTGGTGTTGATATCTTGGCAGATGAACACACTTCCGAGGAGGCGAAAGCTCACGCTCGCGAGGTGCTTGAGGCTGCTGGAATCCTCTCCGATTCGTCTGAGGATACTGCTGCGGAGGAACACCACATGCGTGTCCTTGCGGGCTATAAAGCTGCCTTGCATAGTGAGTTGCCTGAATATAAACGATCGACACACTAACAGTCCGTCCTATTCGCGTAGACCCGCGCGTTTCTGACGCCGCAAAGCAGCACGCCCGCGAATATCTCGCAGAGCACGATGCTTGAGCTCGTCGTTTCAATCCACCAATGGGCTGTTGATGCAGGGATAGGTCCGGACTCTGCAGTGTGGTCCGAAGTCAAATTTTGTACCATAGTGAGCTTTTGGTGTTCATGTTCTGAACGAAGAAAGTGAAACTCGAAGAGCACGAAGCCGGCCCACTTGTGTCGCATCCGGATCCCATCATCGCCGATTCCCCGGTGGTGGCCTTGTGAGGTTTCTTCGAGAAAATTAATTCATCATGGTTTATCCCCAATCTTCATGTCGCCTCGAGGTCCAGATGCGCCCCGCCGCGTACAAGAGACAGCTGATTTTTGTATGTAGCCGTGATCAACGGACCCGACGCATAGATTTTGTCACTACTGTACCCCAGACTCTAGCTGCTCCGAGTGAATGTAGCACACCAGACATCCATAGACTTGACCTTCTTGATCCCACCATCACTCTCGAGGCTCGCCAGCGTTGCATCACGCAACGACAGCACCACCGTCCTCTGCCGCTCATCCGGAATCAGCTCGTGGATCTGCTTCAAGAAGCGCTCGCCCTGCACCTCCATCGTCTCCCACCGCCCGTCGAGAATATGGTCCGCAGGCGTGATCGTGCCCTCGCTCTGCAGCGCCCAGCCCGAGGCGGCGGCCTGCGCGCGGATGACGACCGGAGACGCGGCGATGCGGATGTTCGAGTGCGGCGCCGGGTTGTGCGCCTCGAGCGCAGCCTGGGTGAGCGCGGCGAGCACGTGCGTCTGCGCAGTCTGCAGGGGCGAGGAGAGGCTCCACTCCGCGATGTACACGGTGCGCACGCGCTTCGCGAGCGCGGCGAGCGTGTCGCGCAGCAGCGTCGGGGTGTTGAAGTACCAGATGCAGATCGCGAGCACCGCGGCGTCGTACTGCGTGTCGTCGGCCTCGAGCAGCGCGATGGGCTCCGCCTGCTTCCAGGTGATGCGCGAGCCGAGGCGGCCTGCGGAGAGGTGCGCCTGCGCCTGGCCGAGCGTGAAGGGGGAGCCTGTGTCAGGAGGTGTGTGAGCGCTCGGTGTGGGCGCGGTGTCGCGGGAGGTGCGCACCGTAGTCTAGCGGGCCCGGGTCGACGGCAGTGACGTGCCCGTTGGGCCCGACGAGCTCTGCAAGGACGGCGGTGGTGTCGCCCTGCCCGCAGCCGATCTCGAGGAGCTTTGCGCCAGCGGGGATGTCCCACTTGGAGACGATGGAGATGCGGTGCTCGGTGGACTGCTTCTGCACGCGCAGTTTCTGCTCGGAGGGGGGATCGGCGAGCGAGTAGAGGCACACGGAGGCGATGTCTTGTGCTGAGAGGGTGCTCATGATGTAGAGATGAAGCTGCTACACACATTTGAGTGCAGCCCTTATACGCATGCGCTGCGATTACGGCCCCGAACAGCGCCCATGAGCGTATGATCCGTGAGTCGTTGGAAGAGTCACCGAAGGAGAAGCTTTGCTATCAAGAGCACATGGATGGCGGGCTTGCAGGGAGACCGGGAGTACATTTGCAGCCTGATACAGTAGCGATACTCCATGTCCCGCTGACCGAGGGTCATCCGTAAGTGCGCAAGCGAGAGCGCGGCTGATCGGGCTCTGCGGCCATAGAGCTGAGCGCTGAGCGCTGAACGTTGAACGCTAGCACTCCCTTTACTTGGCAGCATGTCTCAACGGAAAAGTTACAACCCTCTGTTGAAGCACTTCTCTGTCGCTCATTCGTTGAATTTCGCACATGGTCACGGTATAAAAAACGTCACCTGAGCGATTCGAACACTCGCGGGCAAAGCCCAACCGCTTAGCGTTCTCTGGGCGAGAAATAGCAGGCGATCCCGTTAACCACTCCGGCAAAGTGACCTAGGAAAAGTCGTGAAAGAAAGCATCAATACCGATGTTCATACCGAGCGCCACGGGCATAGCCAGTCATCTCAGGAGTAAGTTATCGTCATTACTGCTTGAAAATAAATTGGCCAATTTCCTTCACGCGAGAGGCTGTTTTGATGCCATTGCCAATTTAGAGTCCGCCTCCTCGGAATCGGGGGGATAGGTGACTATTTTTCTACCGTGAGAGGAGCAACCCGTCGCCTTGCGCGCGCGCTAGCGCTTTCATCGCGACCGGAGCTGCTCACAGCTCACTTCAAGGTGAAATATTCTTCTCCTTACAGGAATCGGGATGAGATCAAATGGTTTATTATCTATTTAATGTTATGTTTAAGGGCTGCATACCCATGTGCGGTAAATAAGTACGCGGACGTGTAAAAACAGGACAACTGAAATCAAGCAGATTTGGGGTGCTGCTGGTATTTGGCAAAAATGCGTCCGATATCTGTCCTTTCTGCCACATTTCATCCTGTCAAAATTCGGGGCGATCTCCAGTGAGGGGCCCTCGTAGCTGAAGTGCCGAGCCATCAACGACAGGGATTGCCATGAATATTGCTGAATTCATGTAGTGGGGTATATGCGCACGCACAAGTCTCCTGCACTCTATTTGCTCATCTCGTCCAGTCGCGCCACCAGCGCCTCTATGCGCTCCTCGAGCCCGCCGACATTCCCCTTCACGACCTTCGCGTTCTCCTCCAGGCTCGCCTCGACGCTGCTCACCGCCTGCGTGAGACCCTCCAGCGCCTCGCGCGAGCGGCGCTGCTCCTCCTCAAGGCCCTCCAGCGAAACCTGGAATGCCGCAGCAGATGTGTGCAGCGCAGACAACGTGCGCAGGCGCGTGAGCACATGCGGGATGTGCGGGAGGCTCGGCACGAGGCGCGTCAGGATCGGCGAGAGCTGCTCCTGCAGCGCCGAGGGCGCCGCGGGCGCCGTGCCGTCCGCGTGCTGCGACTGCTGCCGCCGGTGCGTTTGGTTCGTGGTGGAGAGGCGGTCGAGGTCGGTCAGCAGCAGCTTTAGGCGGCGCGAGATGTTGTCGAGGTGGCGCGGCTGGGTGAGGACGGTCAGTTGGGTGTTGAGTCTGCTGAGCAATGGCAGGAGCGGGGCGGGCATCGGGGAGGTCTGCGGGTAGGTTAGCATAGCATACATCGGTCGATAACGTTGTCCTCGCACCTCATCGAGCGATGCACTGGCCGAGCCGACCAGCTTCTCCAGCTCGCCCACCCTGCGATCGACGTCTGCCAGGTCCTTCACGCCCTCGACCGCCTTCTCTTTCTCCTTCCCGTTCACGGCGGCCTTGCCGTCCTTCTCCACCATCACCGGCGCATCGGCCTCGGCGGCGTCGGCCTGCTCCCCGTCGTGCAGCACCTCCTGCACGAGCCGCGCGCGGTCCTCCCGCGCCGCAGTGAACCGCTCGAGGCGGCTCTTCACGTCGACGAGCCCCTTGATGAGGTCGCCCGGGTCGACGTGCGCCTCCTCGCGGTCCTTCGCAAGCAGCGGGTTCGACGGGTCGGACATCTCCGTCTCGAGCGCCGCGATCTCGTTCTGCAGGAGCCGCAGCCGCAGCGCGAGCGAGGGCGGGTGCGTCGGCGTCGGCGAGGGCGTGCGCGAGCGGGGGTACTTGTAGAACGTGCGCTCTCGTTGCTCTGGCGGGGCGGGCGGCGTGAGTGGCTGCGGGCGGGAGAGGGGGAGGGGCACGCACGTTTCCGCTCGGCCTTTCTGAACCGCTTGGTCGCCTCGTCGGGGGCGATGAGGTGGCCGTTGTCGAGCTCCTCTTTGGCGGAGAAGTCGCTCTTGCCGCCGCGCGCGGACGGACGCGTCGGGAGCCCCGAGTCTTCGTCGCTCGACTCGCCGTGCTGTGGACACGCCGTTCACCACGCGGTCAGTGACGAGCTCTGTGTGTCGCTCACATTTGCTTGTGAAGAGGGGAAGACATCATCTGTTTCGTAGATGTCCGGCGCAGTGTCCTTAGATTGACAGCGCGTTTGTTCAGGTCTCTCGGAAGTGGGAAAGAAGTGGAAGCACCGACTATGTCTGGCAGGTTGGCATATTTAGTTGCACTCATTGCGGGCTCTCCGGACGCAGCGGGGACGTAGGGAAAGAAAGAGTTGACTTGTAGTGGAGTGTAAGCTGTAGGTTATGCGAAGTACAGTACGACCACGCGACAAGCAGAATTAGCAAGCGTGGGAAATTACAGACGCGACGTGGTCGGAAGAGTGCAGCACTCAAGAATGGCTACAGACAACTCGTGCTCTCTAGGTATAGTAGTGTACGGGTCTCTTATGGAAGTTCAATGAATACTGTAGAGTAGTGCTTCAAGAAAGGGGGAGCGATGGGGAAGCGAGGGCTCTACTGAGAGTCTAACCACGTTGACTCGCAGCCTGTCGACGAATGCCGAACAACTGAATCAGGTCTGTGCATACGTTAGATGGTGCACTAGATACACTAAGAAGACTAAGGCGAACCTTGCAACCTAGCTTCCTTCTTCTGGCGGGGCGTCTCCTTGCTCTTCATGCTCGAGAAGGCCTATAACCGCGGTGAACATGCGTGAGCTATAGTTGTGTAACTCATCGGAAGTGCCTCACCTCTTTAATCAATGTTTTCTTTTTCTCTTGGATGTCGATGACCTGCAGACGATGGATCAGGTCATGTACGTTGCAGAGCATGTGACGGGAATGCTACCTTGGACTCTACTGTATCCTCGGCGATGAGCTGGAAGACATGAACAGGCTTCTTCTGACCGATTCTATGAGAGAGAACTCAGGATGAGAAGCATTCTTCAAACGAGAGGACGAGCTAGCGCACCGATTACATCTGTCGATCGCCTGGCTCTCAATCCCTTCTTGCCACCAGCTAGTTGGGTACGTGAGCAAACAGCATGACACCCCGTTCAGAAAGACTTACGGATCCATCCTATGTACAATAAAGAGTCAGCACCAAAAGCTTGCTCCATAAAGGGGTTACTTACAAATATACGTTATTGGCAACCGTAAGGTTCAGCCCAAGAGCTCCCGCCTTCAGTGAGATGAGCATGACCTTGGGATTGACGCCAGACGACGCCGATCTATACGTCGCTGTGCTTGTCCTGGCCGCGAACCTTGTCTTAGCGACCGCTTTGCCCTTGCCCTTTGCTTTGCTCTTCTTGACCGGACGCCTTTTGCTCCAGATGCTGTCCTCCTCGGAATCGTCGAGGAAGCCGTCATCGTCGTCGATCTCGATTACCTCGGGCTGGAAGTCGTCGTCGCCATCGCTCTGATCTTGGAAAGACATGTCCGCGTCTCCGCTGGAATCTCGGGCGGAGCTACGTCGACGGGAGGAGCGCCCTGTCAGGGTGGCTTCTTCTGCGTCGTCCGCGGCGTTCCGGGCGGCGACAGGTTCTTCGTGACCTTCGAGAGGAACAGAGAAAGCCTCAAGAGTCTCCTGCCGCCTTTTTGCTGACATCTTTCCATCAAATCGCACATACGGTATTCTAGATACGATACGCGTTAGTGGGGGGCCAACACAGAACGAAAGACAAGACCAAACCCTTCAGCATCTAGAGCTTCTGCGATCTATGATACAGTGCCCACGTTAGTGGTTATTTCGTTTAGATCAGCCTCGTCACATACCTTGTCCAGGAACGAGGTGAATTGGGAGAAGACAAGCGATTTTTCTGACCCTGGTGTCAGCTTCAGCAAGTGCACGAGTTGGTCAATCTTCGCAGATGACCCAGTGCGTAGATCGCTGATATCTTCTTCATCATCGTCAGTTGGCACAGGTGCTTGTGTAAGTAACGTCGGCGGCGGGGGTTCGATGAGATCGCCCAGTCCAATCCTGCGTCGATCCTAGAAGACAGTCAGTATAAGTGACGGACAAAACCGCAAACCTTGTTCACCATTGGGCATTTGGGATCACGAGCAATAACCTCTGTTATGCTGATAATGCCAGTCATTTCAGCACATTTCATTGAGGTCCGACGGAAGCGATACTTACCACGCAAGACAGAACCGATGCGAGCACGCGGTGATTCTGGGATCATCCAGGAAGTTGAAGCAGATCGGGCACTCCTCGTTGTCTTCGATAGCTTGGAAAAGCACGCTCTGCAGTCGGACCTTCTCTTCTGGCGTAATGTGAATCGCGGCGTCGTCATCATCGTCTGCATGAAGAAGCTGTTCTGCATAATCTGCGGGTATAAGCCCGGGATGAAGAGCTAGTTGGCGTAACCGGGTCAGCATGCTCAAGGCGTTGGTGGAAACCTACGACCCCATATCAGCATAGTATGAAGACGAGAATGAGTAACAGCCTACAGCTACAGAGCCAAGTCCGCCATTCCGTTCAATGAAGCCTTCAATGCGCTGTTTGGAGAGCTCTTCAATCTTGTCGTACAGCTCCTGAGAGAATATTAGATATAATATTGAGGAAAGCGACGAAAGACATACTCTTGCTTCGGGATGCAGCGTGACAGGAACCATTGTCATTTCGACCTTCAGATTGGACGTTAGTTTCCACCTGGAATCGCGACGATCAAGCTTACCGGTGGCAAGGGTACCAAGTAATTCCCTTCACTATCTTGCATCTATTTTTTCGTGAGCAAAAGCGAGAGCAGAGATGTAATACACCTACCTCCTTCGTACGACGGATGCAGATTTGCGCCATCAAAGCCTAGAAGGCTTTGTGAGTGTCTGAAATTAAACCCATCTGAATAATTAACGGACCCTCAGTAGCTCAGCCCCCGACGGATCTCCAGTCTTGAGTGGGCGGAGTACCAGAGCCTTGTAAAGATCGGCATTATCCAAAGGACGGCAAATCTGGAGGAAGGTCAAGAGAGATCCAAGATCCTACAAATGACAATCAGCAGCGCATTCATATCGCGAGAAGTCTATAGCTACCTGTGGAGAGTTGATCTGTGCAGGAATGAGCATGAAAGTCAGGAATACAGTGAACGGAAATCTCACGATGGGTGTTCCGGTCAATACCCATCGCCTCTCCGCAGTGAGCCC